GAGGGCGGGGGATAAATCCAATCTCCTCTCTTCTAGAAATTCCCTTCCTGATGGTGTCTCTGATATTCTCAGTCCTCCAAACCTCTGTTCCCTGCTAGCAGAAGGGCAGGGGTGAACTGGCCCATCCCATTGTCTCTCCTTCTTGATCCATTAGCATTTCTTAAGAGATGTGACTGGAATGCCATGGGTTAATTTCCTCCCCACTACTGGTTGTTCTTAGTGCAGGAAACAAATGGTGAAAATGCACAGTGGAGTCCTTGCCCATTGCCAACCTTCCAGGAGATAAGGCATTTCTCCACAGAAGCCAACAAGATTTTCAGTCTATGAGCTTTCGAGAGTCAAAATGGAACTTCTTCACCTCTTGAAAATTCAAAACCTGCAAATCTTGCTGGTCTCTCGGGGGCTCCTGGCCCCAAGCGTCACATACGAAAGGAAAGAAACTGAGGCCTTGATGCCTCTAGCGGCAGAGGTGAGAGGCCGGGGTGGACTCTGCGCATGATCTGGGATCTCTTCCTTCTCTCCCCCCCCCCCCCCCCCCTCCCATGCTTTGGGCTCAAGCCTTTTCCGCATTCTGTCTCTGTCATGTTTGCACAATTCTCAACCAGTCTTTCCCAAAATTGTGCGCGTGTGGTTTTCAAACATCTCAGGTGGCAGCAACGTTTTCCAGCTGTTCCCTTCCGATGAGGACTGCACACCAGTTGCCCCCCCCCCAGAACACTCCCTGGCCTGCCTACCACCCCCATTGGAGAGCAGCTATCGTAAACACCCCTCTTCCGCAACAAACACCTGTCTTTTCTGCTTAACGGAGGCCGGGCAGTATTTGGGAAGGCGACGAAGCCCTGAGCTACGGAGCGAAAGGAACATTCTATTCCCATACAGCTGAGCTGAGACCATTTTGAGGTCTGTCCCCAGCCAGCTCCCTGGGGTTTGCAGCAAAACCACTGATTTACGGCCTGTTTTAAGCACAGGGTAGAAATAGAGTCCTCGCTTGGTGCTTGCAGCCTTAAAATAAAACAGTTATTGATTTCAGGGAATAAAAGAATTTGGCAGCGTTGCCGTGTGTCTGCATAGTAAAGCGGGGCTGGATGCGAAGCTGGCAGCTGGGGTCCAAGGAGGTGGTGCCGTTTGTTCCGCGGACTCGCTTGCCCCTCTCGGGGGTTCCCTCTCTCGCATTTACTTTGAGCTCAGCCGCCCCAAGTGCCCTCCCTCACCCCAGGGCCGACACAGGGACTGAGCCGGGGTGGGGAGGGTATGTGAAAGAATGGCTCAGTAGCAAATGTCCCATTTCTGAAAGAATTTGCACGTTTAGAATTCTGGCACTTCCGGACGGAACATTCTGGAGGCACCTCTGCCTCGGGGTGCTCAGTCCAGTAGAGCCAAACTCTGCCTGGCAGCAGCTCAGCAAGCTCTTTGCCCCACTTCGTTTGTCACTTGAGGACCTTCTGCACGCCGGACACATCCTCCTCCCTCCGCACCCACAAATGGTGGCCTGTCTCTCACACTCACCTGCTCATGCAGCAGACCTCGTCAGGGACCCGAGAGGGGACTTTGTTAGAGAGCCAGCGTGTCGTCGCGGTGAAGAGCAGTGGACTCTAATCTGGAGAACGGGGTTTGATTCCCCACGCCGCCGCCGCCGCCGCCTCCACATGCAGCCAGCTGGGTGACTGTGCGACAGTCCCAGTTCTCTCCGAACTCTCTCAGCCCCACCTACCTCACAAGGGGAGAGGAATGGGATTGTGAGCCACTTTGAGACGCCTTAAGGTACAGAGAATTGGGGTATAAGAAGAGAAGAGATTGGATTTATACCCCATGGCCCTTCACTTGGGGTCTCAGAGTGGCTTACAAACTCCTCTCCCCTCCCCTCCCCACAACAGGCACCCCCTGTGAGGTGGGATCTCGGAACGACTGTAAGTGGTTTCCCCTTGCTTTGAGTCCTGGCAGGCAAAGCTGCTACAATCCTCTGCAGTGCGTAGGAGTGAGCCAGGCCCGGAAGTAAGCTGGACAGGAATCAATTCTGGCTTCTCATTAAAGATCCAACGATTTGCCCGGAACGTGCGTCTCTCTCCTTTGCTTGAGAATTACGCGCAGAAGGACCCACTCCTGGGCTGTTAGCCTGAGATGGCAAAGACCTGCCTGTTGGTCGGAGCTGACAGGGCTTGGAAAGGCAGAGGATGCCTGCTAGGGGGCTTGCCCGTGGGGTGGGGAGCCAGCCGGCACAATTCTGAGTCGCTGGCAGAGCCGCTGCAGAATGCAAAGGGGGCTCGGTGGGTCTCTTCCAAGGGGAAGCCATCATCGGCCTGGCCTGGCCCCTCATGAGCAGCCACCTGGAACCCACTCCTGGCGAGCAGCTGCCTGTGCTGCAAAGGGCATCAAGCCACTCGGCGGAATCAGAAGGCACCCAGGAAGGGGCAGGAGCGCACTTTCCCTCTGCATCGGAAATGCCCGCCTCTCAGACAATCAACCGAGATGTGAGACAGCCACACCCACCCACGTGGAAAGAGGAGGCATTCTGTGCTCCACACCCAGCAGGGGGGAGCCGCAACCCACAGGGAGGAGCCTCCTGGCACCTTGGCGACTCCAGAGCCTTGGCCACTTGCAGAGACTGCGGAAGGCCAGTCCAGCTCAGCCCAAAAAGGCCCCGAAGCAAAGGGGCAACCGCCAGGCCCCACCGCCCCTCCACACACACCCCCGGGTGCCACAAACCTTTGCCAGACACCAGTTTGCAGACCCAGAGGCACGCCCCCCCCCCCCCCCCCCTCTCAGCTGAGTCGGTGTGAGCTGGCTCACAGTTTTTTAGCCTCCGGCTCACACGTTTCTGTCTCCGCTCGGGAAGGAGGGCTCCAGAGCAAACTAATGGATGCAGCAGCCAAATGGCTCGCTCACCACTTCAGTGCCAGGAGCTCACAGAGTAGAATTTTTGCTCACAGGACTCCACAGCTTAGAGGGAGCATTGCCCCCCCCCCTTGTAGGCACACCTCCGTCTCGGCATTTAGGAGTTTCAACACATTCTTCATTGACCGGCCCTGGGGGCTTTCCCATTTAAATGGGGGGGGGGGCTTTCCCATCGACTGATACATGGGGGAGAACTGTGTGGCCAACAGCTGCCAGGGCAGTGGGCGGGGCAAGCCAGAGACCTCAAAGGCAGAGCAAGGGGGCGCTTCAACTCCTTCAAGGCACTCCTGCCGGAAAGTGCCCCAGGCCGAGGCCTGCCACATGCGGACAGAGATGCCGGCATCGCCCTCAGCCAGCTGCGGCTAGAGACATCATCACTGAATCCCTGCGCCCGTTGCAGCTCTGGTTGTGGGAAAGGACCGAAGATACACCCCCAACACCACAGCTGTCAGCAAGAACCTCCGACAGCTTTCAACAAGCAAAGTAGATCCCCCGCTGACATAAGAGAGGCAGCGAAGATTCCCACTCAAGAGCCGCATTTGCTGGAACAACACCCAGACTTGGCTTTCTGCATCAGCTGACTGCAAATGGAACAGGCTCAGGGAAGCCGGAGGGGGTGTGCGTGTGGAACATAACAGGCAGAGAGAGAGAGAGAGAGAGAGAGAGAGAGAGCGCACTGCCTGGGCTTTGATCAACATGTGAACTGTCTGCCCATTAAAGAGCTTGTTCTTCCGGCCGCCTGCCAGGGCTCCGCCCATTCCTGCACCTCCTCCCCAACCCATGGGTCCCTCCCCCCCCCGCTGAGGTGGTCAGACGGAATCAGCACCCCCTAAGGCCACCAGGACCTCCCGCTGTCCTCAGCCGCCCCCTCTCGCCCACCACGCCCGGCCTTTCCTCTGTCACTGGGCCAAGGCAGCCCGGGCTCACGAGGCAGTCATGCGCCTGGAAAAGCCAGCCCTGCCGGAGGCACAAAGCGCCACCCGCAGAGACACACTGATGCAGAAGAGGCTCCCGCCCACGTGACGGCCACTGCAAGGGAAGGCAATGGGAGGAGACCGGCCAGGGAGGGCCGAAGGGGGAGAGGCCGGCTGCAAGAACAAGGCGAGGCTGCTATTTTCAGAGTCTGACCAAGGGAAAGCATCAAGCCGGGGTGCCAAGATGACCGGCCAGAGCAGACATTAAAAACTAACAAGTCACTCTCTGCCACCTCCCGGCCTCTCCCCCCCACCTGAGGAGCATAGCCGCCATTTTAAAAAAAAAATTGGGGGGGAAAAGGTCTGGGAAACTGGAGGCCAGTTAGTCTCTGCTCTGGCTAAAGTCATGGAAATAGTTGAGAGAATGACTGAGTAGGCAGGGGGAAGACCCCTTTGTAAGCCACCGCCCGTGCAGCTGTCGGAGAAGGGAGCCCTGCCTCACCCCCTTGTGGAGATCCTAAAGAGTGTTTTAAGAAATGAGCTTCAAATCCAGTGTTTCTGGCTCCAGCAAAGAATCTTACACGTGTGAAAACTGTGCTCAAGGAAAAGGCTGACACCGGGTGCAGGACAAATCAAAAGGGCCACTAGCGCAAAGCCCTGGTAGAGATCTACATTGTGGCTGCTTTGGAAACCCCACGTGCAGTTCTAGAGCTGCAAAGCACAGCGATGCATGAACGCAAAATGCCTGAAGAACATGCAGAGTGCGTGCCTCTGGTTCCAAAGTAACAGAATTGGGGTGACCCCTGCTGAAACGGGTGGGGAACAGATTCAGAGTGGACAAAAGGAGCGCCTTCTTCCACAATGCACAATTAACTCGTGGAAGTCACTGCTGCAGGCGGTGTAGGGCCAACAGCTTAGATGGCTTGAAAAAGGGATTGCGAGTTCCTGGAGAAGGAGTGATCTCTCAGGGCTGAATGGGAGGCAGGATGCCTCCGATGGCCAGCAGATGGGGGTGCAGAACACAGCTAAATAAAGCCTTCCCCCCCCCAACTACCAGAAAGCAGCCCACTGCAGACCAGACCAGCCACACCTCCCTCCTGCAGGGGACAGACGTGGGTCACCCATAGAGGCCCTCACTGGGTACCCCCTTGATCTCCGCGGATTTCAGCGACAGGCACACAAAAGGCTCACGCGGTCTGCGGCAGCTGGTTTAATCGCTTACCATTTTACTATCCAAATAAGAGCCCACTCCCACAGGTGCCTCACAACACAGCTCCGGCACCTGCCCCGGCTGACCCCAGAGCCAGAAGCCACACCAGGCATGCCCCGGACCAGAGGGCCAGCCTGCAAAGACGTGCCCTCCGCCAAGTCCCAGCCCAGAGAAACAGCCCCTCTAGGAAGAGTCCTCCATGGCCACCGCTTCCTCGAGTTTCTGGACCATCTTGTCTTCCAGCTGTTTGGCTTTGCCTGAAAGTCATGAAAAAGACTGTTCGGTTCAGCTCCCCTCAGGGTTAAGTTACGAGTTCCAGCCCCTTCCTTCCCTTCTTGCTGGCTGGCTGCAGAGGAACCTCTCTTATTCCAATGGGAGATATTCTTTGCATGTCACGACTGGACGGGTCCTGAACAGCCTGGACTCAGGGTCTGCACTGCGGTGCCTCCCCTGGAGCAGGGTACAACCTCTGGGAAACGGGATCTCTGCCCAAAGGGTTCCTCTTGGCATCGCCAAGATGCCTTCCTTCCCATTTGTAGCAACAGGAGCAAGCAGGGGTGACGATGATCACAGGCCAACCAAGTTACCCATGTGCCCCCCCCTTCCAGAACCCCCGTCCGCACCCCAGCCCACGCAGGGCTCTAGCTCCCGCAGGCTCCTATCCCGTGTAAGGCTCCATCTGGCCCACGCCAGCTTCCTGCGCAGGAGCCCAGTCTGAGTGCCCCCCCCGGAGAACTCTGACCGACCGCAGCCCCGACACACCCCACCCTCGAGGGGGGGCGGGAGGGGGGCGCCCTGGCAGGGTCCACGCCCAGAGCAAGAGGGCCCTGCCTGCCTGGGACTTCCTCTGCAAAGGCTCAAGGGAAGCCGTGAAAACACCCCTCACACTAACGCGGGAGACACACCCGACCTCTTTCCACTGGGCAGTGGGACACCCAAGCCCTGAGGACGACACGTGGCCGGTGTCACGGCTCACCAGCTGTGTTGGACTGTGGACATCTGGAAAGCTGTTTCCAAGCAGTCCACGCAAGATCCCCTGCCTTCTCGTGGGGGGGTGGGGGGTGGGGGAGGCTCACCTGCATGTGGAGCGCGAATGAGGTGGATGTTCTGCTTGACCTCCTTGATGTCTTGAGCTTTCTGCAGTTCTTTGCCCTTCTTTAGTCTAAGGGGAGCGGGAATGAAAATCAATCTCAGTTATTCCAAAACCAAATGCAAAAAGGACATGATACCACAGCAACAGGTTTTAAATGCACACAAATTAAATATCTCCTGTTTTGCCGGGGGGGGGGGGGGGTGTTGTATGGGCAGCAGGAGAAAATCCAGCCCAGACTTGGACACCAGGACTGCCTGTGGTGCCCCCAGCAACGCCCAAGTCATGCCGAGAAGCCAGCCCCTTCTCCCCATATGCTGGACGGGCCCCGACTCCGTTTAGCGGGCCTCTTCCCAAGAAGAGCACATGGATGGGTCCTGAGTTAGTAACGGCCATCATCCTTACAGAAGCCCGGCTGTTTCTGAGCACCAAAATCTCTGCCGGGGTCAAAGACCAGCCCAGCTACAGCCTGAAGGTGCCGACGGCCACCGTACCTGTTCATGATGAACTTGGCTTGCCGCCTCTGCTTGATCTCTTCCACTCTCTTCATGACATCGACTGGGGAAACAAGGGGGGGAGGGGAGGTGGCACATTACAAGGGCCTTTGCACAAGCTCAGGTAGTGAAAGCAGAGGCACCGTTTCTCGTTTTAGCTTTCTGACACGGGAGTTAAAATGCCCCCGTGGCCAAGCAGAGTGGAGGCGGCACTGCAGCTCCGTATCTGTTCATGCTTGTGCCCCAAGCTAGCCCCACCTGCCAGACCAAGGAATGCCAGGCAGGGTCACGAGGCAGCGGCAGGCCACGGCAAAGCGCCTCCGAGAGCCTCTTGCCCTGAAAACCCCCGAGGGCCCTTCCCGCCACTGCCACCACCACTCAGCCTGGCCTGCCTTTCTACGTACACCTGGTCAAAGTGTGGCCTACTGCAACCAGCTGTTGGTAATTACAATGTATGAGCTGGGAAGACCCAGGTTCAAATGTCGCCTCAGCTGTGAGCCTAACCCCATCTCTGTCACCTGACCGAACCCTTAACTGGGCTGCCCTTCTGGTTTCTGAAACTGGGCAGGAAGAACGGGACCGCTCTCCACTTTCGTCCAGTGTCAGGTCACACTGTGCACAGCGATGGTGCAGTTGTGCGTGGGGGTGGGGGGGTGGAACGGCACTCCCCCAAGGGCAGGCCTGCAAGTGGGGCTCCCAAGAGTGACGTGGAGCCCTCTCGTGCAGTGGGGACAGGCAGCCTCTTGGCCGCTCTTTCTTTTCTGCTGGCAAGAGGGGGCCCTGGCTGCAGCCATCAGAACGGGGGGGGGGACACACCCACACACACCCAGTCCCCCACCCCTGCAGGGCTTTGAGCTGCTCCCCCACCCCCCCACTCCCCAGACGGAAGGGAGCTGCTGGGTTAGGGTTCGGTGGAGAAGAACGAGGGCCCCCACCTGACTTCTGCCAGAGCTCTCGCTGGTATTTCACGGGCTCGTTCCTCCGCTTCTCAAACTCCAACGAG